GCTTTCTGCTCACCAGTGTGTCAGGGTCCCTGTGTCACTGGCAGTGGTAGAGGGAGAAATGAATTGCCAGACAGCACTTTGGATATGAGGCAGCTAGAGGCTTTCGCCCCGAGCGCTTTGGATGCAACAGCAGTGGTTGCTGCTTTGGCTGTAGTACAAAACTAGCTTCAAAATGCTTATGTCTAGTTACTCTTTCAAGCAAGACAATTACGCCGTAATAGTTAAGATCCCTTCAAAAGCTGAAGGGAATTCCATGAAGATAAAAAGGGGTGTGTAGCCTGCAGGTATATCCACTGCTGAATCGTAGATGTCTCAGTTTCTGAAAGCAAAGCCTGAATGTTTTAGGCTGTTCAGCACTTTCTGCTGTAAAGAATTTATCAAGACTATGCTTTCAGAAGCCCTCAAGTCTTACGTTTGCAGTGCCAATAAAAAAAAAAAAAAGAAGACATATAGGGAAGTTACGTTAGGAGACAAAAGATTCTTGTATACAAGTGCAAATTAATTTGTTGTAGATACAGAAAAATGGCAAATCCACAACTGACTTACAAAAAGTCATTTCTTCTTTTCTTCTGTGCATCTGTAACTAGCATGTAGAATAAGGTTTCTGCTATGTTAACAGGATAGTTTGGAGGGATTGTTTGGTTTTGTTTTTAAGAGGAGGAAGTGATATAAAAACTTATGCTTCAGTTGTGCCCGTTTTCAGCTTCTGGAGATAGAGAAAATGCTTCTTTTGAAGCAGAGTATTCTATAACTCTCAACTTCTGCATGCACTCTTCTATAACTCTGTATATATTCTGTAACTCTTTACTTCTGCACTCCTACTCTGTTCATGCAGAACAGAGTTCTGCATGCTGTTCTTTGAAGTATCTGATGCTAAGCATTGTCATAAACCAAACATTTAGGTATTTTTCAGCCTTAAAATTACAATAGACTGGCATGTCTTTTTGGTAATATCAGAGCAGGTTTATTTGTTTCCCAAATTAGAAGCAGAAGAAGAGAATCAGGGTGGATTGGCAAGCTAAAACCAATCGGACAGCAGACCCAACTTTTAAAAGAAAACTAGCTCAAGTACAGGATGTCATTATAGTCACACTTTCATATTTTTTTCAGAAAACATCCCAGAGAAGTGGACCCCAGAGGTGAAGCATTTCTGCCCCAATGTGCCTATCATCTTGGTAGGAAACAAGAAGGACCTGAGGAATGACGAGCACACAAGACGAGAGCTGGCCAAAATGAAGCAGGTAGGTTCTTTTCTGATTGTCTTGCAATAAGTGAAGGAAGTGTGTGGGAGCTGTACCAGAGCATTAAATGGGCATTTGCAGCTTGCTGCCAGCTTCCTAAGACCTGCAGAAAAACAGAACAGAATGGAAACTGGACGTGCATCATCTGTGACAGAAACCAGACACTATATATCATTTTTGAGTAGAGGTAGAAATGAAGTAATGAGGTAGAAATGAAGTGATCTGGAGACGCTGACACATCAAGTACATGCACGCTTGAATTTTTGTTCTTTATTTTGTATATTCAGGATGTATAAGGAAACAGTTTCATTGGTAGGTGTTTTGAAGTAATAACCACAGATGCTGTAGCTCTTTCCTGACCCTAGAACTTAGTTTCATTTTCAGATCGCATTTACCCCCAGCTTGGGTATAAGCCTGCAAATATTCTGCTCCATCCTGGACTTTTTGTTCCTATTGCATAATGTTTGTTTTTAGACAAAGACTGATGAGCCAGTTTGGTGAATTGTTCATAGCCCTTTGTTGTTATTATGGCAAAGAGTTGCCTAAGTGCTTACTGTTACATATAAGTAATCTTTTGCTTGAATTTCAAAAGGTCCTGTGTCTTTTAAACTCAGAGGTGTTGTAAAACCTGTAACATCCTCAAGCATTGGCACAATATGCAAGTATATGCACAATCTATGTAATCCAAGCTGAGAGATGCAATAAAGCATAGAGCATCTTCAGTAAATATGCAAATTTGATTTTAAGTTTTTCTTTGATTATTTTAAAGGACTGATCACAGAAGGCCTGTTAATTATTAAAGTAGCCTATTAATTATGTTCATTTAATCTAGAAATTTGTTTGCATTATTGAGAAGCTGGAAGGGGAAGAAAATAATAGCGTTTTTTGGTGCATTTTTGGATTGTTCTTATCTGGGTTTGCTTTTGTGTTGTTACAGGAGCCTGTCAAACCTGAAGAAGGAAGAGATATGGCAAACCGCATTGGTGCATTTGGGTATATGGAGTGTTCGGCAAAGACCAAAGACGGTGTGAGGGAGGTTTTTGAAATGGCCACTAGAGCTGCTTTGCAAGCCCGGCGTGGCAAGAAAAAGTCTGGGTGCCTTCTCTTGTAAAGCGTGGCCAGAGGAAGATGGCCAAAGGAGCACCCTGCACTTGAGTAATTTTGAAGTGCTGTTTATTAATCTTAGTGTATGATTACTGGCCTTTTTCATTATCTATAATTTACTTAAGAGATTTAAAAATCGAGTCATCTTGCTACCAGTATTTAGAAGCCAACCATGATTTTTATAACAATCTGCATCAAATTCATCTGTGCACCCAAGGTTAACCTCAACATTCCTCTAACAAACCTTTTCTGCACTCACAGGATATGCCAGGCGCTAACTGAAGACAATTCTCTATCTTCTTTCTCCTCTTTAGAAAGAGAAAAAGCTGGCAACACAGAGGATTGGTCTGTAACTACTTTATAACTAATGTCCTATTCTAATTGAGTACAACAGATAAATGGCTGTATGTGGAATCAAGTGTAGCTTCAGTGCTGTCACATTTAGGAAGATTTGATTTCCATGGCTCTGTGGTGTAAAACATTAGTTTGAAAATGTGATCACTCTGAAATGACCAAGTCCCATTCAGCTAAGAAAAAGTGAGGGTTCTGTGGTTTCATGTTAGTTACCTTTTAGTTACTGTGTAATTAGTGCCAGTTTAAATGTATGTTACCAAAAATAAATCTATTTACCCCAGCTTAGATGTAGTATTTTTTGTATAATTGGATTTCCTAATACTGTTACTTGTAACCTCTGCATTAAGGTGTTCTGGGTTTTTTAAGAAACTGTATTTGAAAATAAAGTCCGATGGAAAGCAGCTGATCCTTTTCCCCTGTTCATTTGTAAGATTCTGACCCATTTGAATGATTTGAGTGGTCTGCATACCCAGGAGGAGTTTTTTCCATGACATGCCCTAGGGATGAGAAAAGACAGCCTGCTCACACTCAAAGCTTTTGAACTGTTCAGTTGCCTTATGTTCATTGCTGGACCCAATTTCAAAACTAAAAAATGCAACTCTTTGTGCAAGTTTGGTTACCATGTAGTGATCAGACTCCTAACCTGTGAACTTCTTGCTGTTCTGCAGCCAACTAGACTCTTTCTGTATTTTCATTTTTCCAACAACTAATAGAATAAAGGCAGTTTTCTAAGCTCCCTGTATCCTGGTGTCTGTATTCCTCACTGGGGTTTTTGGCCCCAAAATACCACTTTTGATACAGCTGTCATTCACCTAGCAATTGCAAGTGCTTTAAAGTCCTTTTTTTTTTTTTTTTTTTAAATCCCGGAGAGTGATACCCATCTAGTGCCTGCAGTGGTTTCCAAATGCTGCAGCAGAGACCAGCCATGGAATCCCTCACCCCATGGTGAGTGGCAAAGCTTCCCCAGAAGCCTCTTGCCAAAGACTTTTCATATTCAAACCAAAGCAGGTTCTCCATCAGCTGAGGTGAATTTGCCATCTTGAATGTGAGTACAGACTAGGAGGAGGAGAAGAGAGGAACGTAGGAAGAAGGCAGTGTTAAGAAGACACAGGTAGCATGCAGCATCCTGATCTGGATTGTCATACGCACTCTGCACTGCATTGTGGCACAGGAGATGTTGCATATGGTTATACTTGTATGTAATCTGCCATTTTCTTGAGGGATGCCTTTAAGTACTGCAATGAGGGAAGTACTCTTGTGGATGAGAAACGATGTGGAATAGCAGTGTGCATCTCTGCATTTGTACTGTTGAGCTGAGAGTCTCCACCAAAAAGCTGGGCACGGAGGAGTCCACATTTTGATGATGAGCAGTGTAAGGGAGCACCCGGCTGCATCTGAGTTGTGTGCTAGCAATATTTGTTAGGGGTTTTCATTTGTTTATTTGTTTGGTCGCATTTTTTTTTTTTGGACAATGTTCACGATGCCCCTTCTGCAACAAAGGAGTAACAGACCCTGCAGGAGGCCTGCAGGGTGTCCCGTACTCCCATACCTACAGTCCATTTTCCTCCCTCTGCAGCCATGGACACCATGGAGTTAACTGTCTGGCCAGCACAGTAATACGGTGGCACCCAGCCCCACCCTTCCTCTTCTTCCTCTTTGTTTCGTGCCTGTTTTCCAACAGGAAGTTCTCAGCCGCAGCTGCCTGTTGCTTGTAAGGATTTATTTTTCTTTGTTTTTAACGAGCTTACTCATTCCTGTGCAGTTCTCTTTTTTTTTTTTTTTTTTTTTTTGTTTTAAATAGCTGAGAAAAAATGTGAACTTCTTGGTCTTGCTGAGCCAGAGTAGTAGAATGCTACAGTCACAGTTACAAAGCAGCTCTTTGGCTGCAGGGGTTTTGAATCAGGTCTGTGTGCTCTTCCGGTTCAACTCATGGGTTGTGTATCCATCTGTTCCTCTATTCAGAAGTGATTAATTTATTATCTTGGTTTTAATTTAAGCTCCCTTTAATCTACAGAACTATCCTCCCAGTCTTCTCTGTCTTTTCTACCAACTGGCATTAGTTCTCCAGACCTTATCTGCCTTTCTCCAAGTTCAGATCTGCTGGTAAGTCAGTCTCTCCACTTGTGGCCATATGCTCCAGCTCCCTTTCCTTGTTTCTTGGACAACTGGCATCGGAGCAGAAGCCAGTTCATGGCTGCATGGCATTAAGTTATCAGTCTTTCACGACCTAATCTTGCTTTTGAAGGTGGGCAGTCTGGCTCCCTTTGGATTCAAGTCACATCTTTTACAACTCTACAAGCTATGTTTATTCCAGAAGAAACTGAGCTGAAGATACAGATAGCCAGACCAGAACTAGGAAACGAGAGCTCAGCACTCATGGAGAGTAATGCAGCCAGGCAAAAATGTGGCAAAGTAGCTGCAGGGGAAAAGCTTAGGAGCAAAGCGCAAGTCCCCTGCTTGAGTAAGGTGAGCCACAAGACAGCAAGGAGAGCCCTGGCAAGGGGAGCGGGAGTTTGATTCCAGGAGCAGGAGACAGGAAGATATGCTGTGACCTCTTAATAGACATCACTGTTGTTACTCTTAAATACCACTAGTCTATCTTCTTACTTCACAGGACAACTGCAACTTGTCAGACGCATCAAATGGGGTCCCCTGAGCCCAGCTAGTCCCCAGGGTGTTATTTCAAGGGAGCTCTTTGCATTCCCCTGGATCTAAGTTCAGCTGGTTCTACAAAATGAGTCTAGGCACAGGGCATAGCTCAAAGCCAAAAAAGTTCAACTAATCCAGTTAGTTTCCTCAAAACTTGCTCATTACAGAAGGGAAAGGCCTAACCTACTCTTGTCAGAAAAATTCAGGGCTCCAGAAATAAACTCCCTGCTTACTTGACATGCAATCCCCAGGTCCAGACTGAGGATCAGAGATGCTGGTCTAAGCAAGCATCAAAACTGGCAGCAAAGTTGGCTAAAGCGAAGCTGTTTGTGTGGCCACAGTATTGCCCTAGAGGTCACCCTGAAGAAAAGTTCCTCTTTCTCAATCCACAGCAGCTTGCAGTGCCCAAGAGGCAGGCAATGAATCTGCATAGACCGTAACCGTTGATTTGCTCAACAGCAAGCATGGGCCACATGTCTCTGTTCATCTGATCAGATGTTTTCCTGAGGCTTGCTTAGATCTCAGGAGCCCCTGAACTCAGGACAGTTGTCATGACTTCTGATATCAATGCTGTAACGTTGCAAAAAGCACAGGTTTTTGAAGTGTCTGAAGATGCAAGATAATCAGGCAAAGGTCGTAAAACTCCCTGCAAACAGGAACTATTCCATTTTCTGGTTGCTGATGCAGGTGTCAAGAGTAGCTAAGAGCAAAACCACTAGATTCTGTGGTCACTTGGGAACCCAAGTCAGAGGTGCTGGTGGAGGGGAGAGAGACATTGTTTGGTGACTATTAGTTTCAGTGCCAGCGGGCATTATGATGAGGTTCTAATTAATCAAGCAGAAAAGTTATCAAACAGCAGTAAAATATAAGCAAGAGGGAGGGCCCTTTGCGTCAGGGCCCTGAATGCATTCCCCACTTCTGGGGTTTGGGCTGCCTGGGCTCAGGGCCATCTCTGATAAGCAGCTGTCTGACCTTGAAACTGTTGTGAAGAGCTTTTTGCAAAAACAAACAAACAACAAAACTAGAAGCCTTAGCAGGGGTTCCCCCTTCTCTTGGGAGCTGCATAAGCTGGGTTCCTTGTCCTTGGTCCCTGCCAAGCTCTGTTGCCACACAGTCCTGTTGATCCTGACCCATGTATTTCATCTCCTGACTTGACCTCGGACCTGCCTTATCATGGTGACCAAGCCACCTTGCCACCTCATGCCCATTCTTGCTGCTCCTGATGCTGTGTTTGGGACAGTTGCACTGAACTGAATCCTCTACTAAAAATTAGTCTGTGCTATGGATGTTCTGGAGGAGCATAATGTTTCAACACAAAAAAAACTCATGGAGGAGTATTCAGGCCATACTGCTTGTAGTAGGTATAAGCAACAGTTAGTGTAACTCACCTAGGACTGAACCCAAACCATAATATGAAGAACTACTGTATGATGTAAAACTGTAAAACAGATCACAGAGGTAAGGCAACAGAAATAGAAAAGCTGGGGATGGGGAAAAGCAACAGCTAAAGTAAACAGAGGCATTACCAGCCTCAACGAGCTGGAAAAATTATAAAAGATGACTAAAACAGAACTTGTGAGCTCTCAGAACAAGAGGAGCTGAAGGTACCTCTCCCACAGCCCATCTCTGGGGTCCATCGGGCAGATGGCTCGGTGAGTTCTCATTAACAAGGCTTCCATAGCAGTGGTTAGTTTTGCACAGTCAGGTATGTCTCTGGTCAAGTTTGTGCATAAGAGAACAAACAGGCTTTATTTGAGCTGACGACTGCCCGGTTGCCTGCTTCCCAGGCTTGACAGTTGGGCAGCCTCCTTCCAAAGGACATATATACGGTGCCAGTGGTCGAAACCATTTATGAGCAATGCTTGATCAATCTGAACTGATTCAGTCTGAAACTCCTTTTTTGCAGCTTTTCAGAGCATCTCTCACACATGGAGAACACTGATTGGTGTTTTCCGTGGATGCTGCCTAAATCTAGGCCCTCTTCAGATTCAGAGTGCCTCCCTTTTCCTCCTCCCTGGGGCAAAAAAATGAAGGTGTTTGCTCTTTCTTCTCTACGCTCCTCTCCTTTAGCAATAATGTCCTAGAGGGAAGTGGCAGTTGTGAGAGCTACAACCGGTCACACTGCGTTTTGCTGTTCATGTTCTTGTGCGCTGTCTTGTGACCACAAAGGCTTTAGCTCATGGGGCAGTTTTAGACTGTGTTGCTTTTTCCATAGCATTTACAACACTTCTCTGTGTCCTATCTATGGATATATAAACAACCTAATTCTGTGGTTTTAATTGATCAGAAAAAAACATTGAGCCTTTCTACAAAGACTTGAAAAAGGCTATGACACAAAAACTGGCTCTTGTAGCACAGCGCAAGCCAGCCATTAAACTCAGTTAACTGATCAAATGCTACAGGATTCAGTGCAGGTCACCGGTGTAAACGTTGCTGTGTGCAGCAACTGTTGTCTCTGCCAAAGCACCAAGGGAGCCCATCAAGGAGGCTGGCACACCGCAGCACAACTGGAGAAACGGGAAAAATGGGGAAAAAAAAAAAAAGGGAGGAAAGGGGGAAAGCAAAAAAAGGAGAGGCCAAAAAAAAAAAAGGAAGTTGATTTTTACATAAAGGGAAAAAAAGCTGGGACGTGCTAGCAGGGCCCTGCAGGCATCGCGTCCCCCCCTCCC